TCCCCCTCCCCGTTTGGGCTGCGCAAAGATATGTGAACTTTTGTAGCTCTGCTTTTCCGTCTTCGCCCGCGAAAGCGTTAAAGGTAAGGGTCTGGAACTCGTAGGCAGCAGCCGGCTTTTGTAGCGGTGATTTATGGCTTCAATCTTGGTTCACCCAGAGTTCACATGGATTTGCTGCTTCTGAGAGCTAAAAGATGGTCTCGCTTGACAAGTGTGACTATTCGAAATGCCTCCCTCTCCTCTCTCTTTCCTTCTCTCTCTCCCCTCCCCCTCCTCTCTAGTTAGTGCAAAATCGTTTAAAATTGAACCTAAACCCTCGGATTTGCTTTTAGAAGGGGCAGCAATCCCGATTTTAGGGATCCAACTGATTGCATAAAGACATTTTATAGCAGATCCCTTTTAGGGGGTGGGGTGTGTGTAGGGGTGTGCGCACCAAATATATAATAGATGCGAGTTATAATGTATGGTAGGTACCTAGAATACATACAATACAATATCATGATACAATACAGAGAGCGACACAGGAATCTTTAGACCAAATGAGGTGAGAGTCTAGAGGGGACTAGGTCGGATCCCAGCCCACCTCCCCCCCCCACGCCCTTTTTTTCTCCCCATTTCTTTGTTGCCACTCTGGATTGAGGAGGGGGAAGGAGAATTGCGAGGCGAGGAGGATGGGAGGAAGGGAGCCATTTGAAGCTGGCCTCCTGTTAAGGCTCAGAGAAATGAGGACGCATCTCTCTCGGGGAGAGAAAGGAGCAGAGAGCGACCCTGCATTATTCGTTGTTGTTGTTTTTTCCTGTCTCGCTCTTCCACCTTAAGTGTTATTAAAACAAGCTTTCCCCGCAAGACGTTGGTTAAATATATAAGCAATTGGGGATTACAGAGAGAGAGAGAGAGAGAGAGAGGGAGAGGATGCTACAGCATCATCAAGTCCAGGTTTGCATAACGTGACCTGCCTGCCAAAAGCTAGCCTAGAGCTTTCTCTGGAATCGAACAACTCGAAATAGCGAAAAAAGAAATAAATGGGCGAGAAATTTCGTTCGCACGATTTGAAACAACCATAGTGCTGTAGGTGGATATGGGACCTGGGACTGAGAGCATCATGCAAAGGTCTCGGAGGTCAAAGGGGTTTCTCTAGCGTCTACTTTATATTTCAGAAAACCGGGAAGCTGGACCTATTATCCATCTGACAATGGTACAGAGGCACACGGAGAGATTCAATTTCGCTATCCAGCCGCCTCTTTCCTATGGCCGACCGAATTCGTTTTTAGGTGGAGTCAGCCTTTACACCTTTCCCGTCTTAATCCTTCCAACCCGTTGGGGACCGGAAGGTCCCTTAACTAGCTGACCCTTCTTAGGGCGCTCAGCCAGGTGGGGTGACCCTCAATCGATTCTGGTGGGCCCTGATTTTAGGCCAGTTGCAAATCGCCTAGCTTGATCGGGACGGACCAAGTCGTCCAAAAAGCCCTTGTGCCTGCCATTTCTGTCTTGCTGGCACAGCTGAATTAAGCCCGAGTGGAATGAGGCTTTGCCCTGATCCAAAGCACTTTGGCTTGCAAGAAGTCCCCCGATTCCCAGGAACTCTGTCGGCGGGGGCACTGCAACCGCGATTTCCCGGCCCTGTGCCTCCCAAAAGAAACGGCCCTAACTTGAGCCTATTTCCCAGATCCTTTCGTGGGCCTGGGTCTGGGCCATCCTCAACCGCATTCCCTGCAACTGCGTCGGCCAGCCGTACTTTCGGTTCCCTCGCCCACAAAACGAACTCTTAGGACACGCAGCACCCCATGTCCGGCTCAGAAGCCCCGAGAACCTTCCAGAAGTGATGGGTCTGGTTCAGCGCGCTTCGGGTGGGGTCTCACCGGCCGAGTTTTGTCGGCTTTGGAAAGAAGGCCAGGGTGGATCGCTGGCGGTTACTTGGCCTTAAATAAGCGCGCCAACCCTCTTTTCCCCGTATCCAAAGTCCTTTGCTACGGAAAGTATTTTAAGTATTTTGCCCTGAAGATTGGTTGGTCTTCCTCGCAAGTTTCAGCTGCCCCGTGTGCGCACATACAGACGGCTTATAGAAAGCCTATAGCGGCTGGGAATGCATAAATCCATATAAATAACAGGGAACAGCGGAGACGTTCTGTTAATGCAATTCAAAGCTATCCATCGTCCTCCCAAATGCTTGTCAGGTCGCTGGCAAAATTCTAGAACTAAATGTTAAAAAAAGAAGAAAAAGAAGCCGTGGGAGGTGGAGATAGAAAACAAATCTTCCGTTAAAAGCAGACGATGGATTCCCGCCCGTTACAATTAGCTCAAGTGGGGGTTAGTGTAGGAAGAAGCCGCGCAAGCGAGATGGGATGAATTCCAGGTCGAATATGTCTAAGGGAGGAAAAAAAGTGAGGAAGTTCAGAGAATAAAAATAAGGCCGAAAATCGGATTTGGGTCGGTTGGCTGACGGGCGACGTGACCCGGGAGCGTCATCTTTAAAATATTTTTGTCTTAAATTCTCATGTCCTTGGCCGGACTTGGGGTGGCCCGCAGAACCTCAGAAACCCTGCGGAAGCGTTTGTACAAAACGAGTGTCCCTCTGCTGAAACGGTTTCCTCGGGAGAACCAAAACGAAGCAATCTTTTTAAATCAGCGGTCTGCCTCCGTTAATCTGCTATAAATCACCATCCCTTAGCAGATCTGTAAATGTGTCACCAAAGTTTCTCTGTTCGTTTGTCTGTTTTCTCTCCCCCCCCCCCCTCCCCTCTCTGGTTCTCTGTTCTGACTCCAAGGGGTCATTCAGGCATGTAAGGGTGAGTCAAAATGTTGTAGTGAAGAGGACTTAGATCCATTCACCTACAAGGTTAGGTACGGTATTTCTGCCACGGACAATATGATGTAACTTAACCCAGAAAAGTTTTAGAAAGAGCTAGGAAAATTCATGGAGGATAGGTTTGCCTATACAGTAACTATTCGCTTGAAACACTGAGTAGAACATCCATCTACAGAGGCACTCTGTCTGTGACTCTCTGTTGCCAAGGCTCATACAGGAAGAGTCAGGTCTTTCCCGCAGGCTCTCCTGCTTGGAATTACCAAAACATCTGGAAATCGGATGCAGGATCCAGCAAAGCTGTTCTCATCTTTTTTAAAAGCTGCAAATGCATTAAGGCAAATTAGTAGTGATTTCTATCTATATCTACTCAAAAGTTAGTCCCTTTGATATTAATGGCATTTACTCCTAGGAAAGTGGACCCAGGACTGCAGCTTTCATTACTTTTAATAATTGCATTAAATGGCGGTATAACTAAAGTCTTATCTTTAATCTTAATATGTAAACCTGTAGACATTATCTATTGTTGCTATCATCATCATTATCATCATACGTGCATGAGAGATCCTTAACAGCTACTGATGTTTTCTGAAGTGCTATCTCACACACACGCACAGAGTATTCTGTCAGTTTGAGTGAATAACCACACTGTGGATATACACACATACACACACAGAGAAATGTATACAAACGGCAGCCATTGTGCAATACAGCAAAAGTTAGTCATAGTTGACCCATTGAAATCAGTGCAACCCAAGTTAGCTATTGCTTTTTCAACCTCACACTCATGATGAAGAAAAGTTGCTGATTTGCGCCCAACCTACATCAGCCCTCTGCTCCCATCAATCAGCCTCACATTCTCAGCTTTTGTACCTCAAATGCAGTGTTAATAGTCAGAGGCAAGTTAACCATCCCACCTCTGTTGAGCCTGCGCAGTTTTAAAAGTCTAAATTGTCACGTGCTGCTGGCGAATACGACACAGGAAGGATAAGTGCTCCTCGTGCATTTACTGCATTCAGATGCTTTTCATTTATGTTTCAGTCTTCTACACCATCCTGTTCCTGTGCCTAAGAAAATATATTTTCTTGTGGTCTGCAAGAATGTAGTATCAAAGGAGGGCAAAATTCCGTCTGCTCACTTAAACAAACAAAGAAAGTTTTAAAAATGAAGGAGCTTTGTCTGATGAAAGTGGTGTGAATCAAATTCCTAGCGACACGAGCATCAGGGTTACAAAGTTCCTTGGGCAAATCCTTTGTTTAAATCAGCAGAGTAAATAAATAAATAAAGTAGGTATGTTTCAATCATACAGTTGCTTGGAAAGAGCTTCTACCCCAAGTATGCAGCATACCCAGCTATTTTGCCTATAAATTTGTCTCAGAAAATCCTGACTCGTTCCTTTCCTTCAGTACAGTTAGAGTTTCTCGCATAGCTTAGCCACCAGCCTAATATTTTTAGTTCCTAGTGTGTTCACTAAATCTAACCCCCCTTTATGAGATTCTTTGTGTCATCACTTGTAGGAACCAATGATTTCCCTGATAGGGCCAGCTGCCCCTTTGAGAATATTGCTTTATTCTAAGTATCAGCACCACCACCACCAGTATCACCATCCCTTCCCCACTTAATGATTTATATCAGTATTTATCCTGGATGGGTGCTAGGTGGAGGGACAGTGCTAGAATTTAGCTCTTATTTTCATCCACTTAAAGCCAGCCAATTTACTATAAATAGATACTGTACTGACTGCAGGGCTTTTATTCCGCAAATGATTTCAATATTTACATGAAACAAGCCATTACTTCTAACATAGGCATCAATAGTAGTTATGAAATACTGATTTCTCCGTCGCACGCTCACTGTTGTTTTTGCTAGACAGAAGCTCATCTCTTGGCTGTAGGACATATACAGCCCATTGCTTTTGAACAATCCATCTTTTGGCACTTCCACATTCCCCTCTTCAGCCACAGAAAGCAAAAGAGGTCTTTCCTGATCATGAACACAGGATGTGCCTCTCAAGACTGGTTGGTGCATTACTTTGCCTGTGAGCAGGGACCACACCATTTTAAATGATGTATTAAAAAATGTAAACTGTGAATATAGGAAACAGGTTTGCAAACATGCCTTACTCTCCAATTAGCTTCTCCAGCTTAATGCCTTCCAGATCTAATTCTCATTGCACCTGTCTAAAGGTTACATGAAAGGATTACAGACCTCACCTTATTGGGAGGGCACCAGTTTAGGGAAGGTGTCATAGAGCTAGATTTGCTAGGGGGACTAGGTGGATGTGCTTCCCTTTATGGGTTAAAAGGTTTGTAGGGATACAGAACCTGTGGCTCTTTAGATGTTGCTAAAGTATATCTCCCAGCAACCCCCACTAGTAATCACGCAGTCTGTAGTTGTATGGAGCTGAAGTTCAGCAAAATTGAGATAGCTACAGGTTTCTTGTCCCCAGAGAGACCTCCCATTTGCTGAAATAAAATACAGATCTTTTCTGGTTAGGGAATAATGGAGTTGATGGCTGGGTTCCTGTGTGACCATTACAATTTATTCTTCCCTTTCTTCCCTTTCCTCTCCGCCCCATACCATACACCCCACCCCCCCAAAGGCAAGCAGTTTCCAGAAAGATCACTAAGAATAATTGAGAGAAATTAGTGCCTGATGTCCAAGGGCTTATCTTATTTTTAAATGCAGGTTTTTATTTTACTGATGCGGTTTTTCTTTTTCTTTTACATAACATAGCTTACAATGAAATGCACTGCTTGCTTGATCAAAACTAAATTTTACTGAGCTCTGCAAGGCTTACTTTATAGGATATGTCTTATAATGGCAATACTAGTGAAGTTCCAGTGATTCTTTTTTCCTGTTCCACATTCATTTTCAATTTCTCTGCACCAGCCAGTACACAGCTTCTCACCCTATCCTAGCACAGTATTGCTGGCTAGTGGATTATAGGAAAAATGAGCTATCCTGTCCCCAGCAGCAGGCTTGGCATTGTATCTCCTTCACACTTTAGAGATGTGATCTACCCTAAATGAGGAAGACACTTATTTTTTTTACTTAGCAAGAAGTTGCAGAGTTATGTGCACACACACATATGTACACACACAAAGTGCCTGTTTTTTGCTGGATAGAGAAAAATTATTGGTGTAGCATTTTGGGAGTTCTCCATATTACATAGCATCTTTTAGCAACTATAATCTCCCCGTTATCAACAAAGATGAGATGAACACTGGAATGAATGTTCCACAGGGGTCAAAATGCCAGGGCCCTATTTTGCTATTCAGGTTCTGCGTGTGCAACCTTTCCCACAGAACTTGAGAACTTCAGACTTAGGAACATCACTGGGTCCTTTTGATCCTGGCAGGAATCCAGAATAAATTGTAACATAATCTCAGCAGTCAACCTTATGAAGTGTGCTTAAGGAGTCCATCCTACAAGCGTCACAGCCTTACGTAGCCAACAACAAACAAGAAGCCTTCAACTACATTTATTTATTTATTTGTTTATGCAATTTATCCTTTCTCAAGCTGAGCAGACACTAGGCAGTTTACAGATATATTAAAAAAAAACACAACCATAACAACAATAAATAAGACAAAGTGTCTTTAATACATTAATATACTAATCTTGGCACTGATGGGTCTCCACAGCTAATCCCCAAAGGTTCTCCAGTAGAGCCAGATTTTTACCAGCTTCCAAAAGTCCATGAGTTTTTTTTTTAAAAAAGGAGAGGAAAAAAAAACCTGTGGAGAAGGAAGGAAGGATATATTCCTTTTTTTCTTTTTTAAAAATAGCAGCTAATAAGATCTGAGCAGAATTCTGAGTATCTGTCGGACTGGGAGGAGATCCAAGAGGAGGGGATATGGAACTGATTATTGTTAGCTATTATACCAAATAACAAAGCATTATTCTAACTGCCAGAACATCACGTTTTGAATATTACCGCAAGTCAGTGTTCAGAGCCCCACATAGCAAGGGCATCCTTGCTGGTCGGTATTGAATCTTGCCCTGTCAAATGCTAAATAATAAAATAAACTCATTGTCGGGCAGATACAGATGTCAGCTCTTTGATGCATATTCAGCACCACATTTGCAGAGCACTGTTCTGGAGAACCCATTTGTTTCCCCTCAGAAACACTGAAACCCAAGCGGGCTGTCTCTGTTTAAGGTCCCTGTTCCTTTTTTAGCAGCATTGCCTAAGGAAGGCTGGGGAGCATCCTTCCTACTTAGAGGGTTCGCCCTTAGCTTTTGGAGCACGTGGTGGAGGAGGGTCTTTGCTCAGCAGTAAGAACTGGAAGGGTCTCTGGGTTCCTTTCACACCCATTGCAAGGTCTCTGTCTCTTCCCCACCCCTTCAATCTGTCAAGAACGGGACATGCAAAAAGCTCTGCAAGAAGATGACCGAGAGGCCTCAGAAGGCAGTTGGTACCGAGATCTCCTTAGGAGGCGGTCCTTTAGTCAGCAGCTGTTTCCAACCCCACTGATATCCCCGGAGTCAGAAACATCTACAGGGCCTTCAGTGGGCTCCAAATGTTCCCAGAATGCATCCCTGAGACCTCTAGGGAACAGCCATGATCAGACCTCAAGGTTACGGCAGCTGTCATTGGTTACTTCTTCCAGTCCTTGTGACACCACCACCAATGGCAGTAGCAAGACATGTAGCAGCCATTTACCAAAACAAGTCTTCCCTTGGATGAAGGAAACAAGACACAGCACCAAGCAGAAGAGCAACCTTCCTTTTTCAGGTACTGTCTTTTGTCTGTCATCTCCTCCTGCATGGGAATTCTGGGAGCTGTAGTCCAATATATCTGGAGGGTACCAACTTGGGGAAGGTTGGCATAGACCAGTGTTTCTCAACCTTGGCCACTTTAAGCTGTGTGGACTTCAAAGTTATTGTCTATGCCAGTGTTTCTCAACCCTGGCCGCTTTAAGCTGTGTGGACTTCAAAGTTATTGTCTATGCCAGTGTTTCTCAACCCTGGCCGCTTTAAGCTGTGTGGACTTCAACATGGCTGGCTGGGGAATTCTGGGAGTTGAAGTCCACAC